GGCAGCGCCGCCCAGAGAAGAGTTCTAAGTAGACCAGATCTTCCGCATCATCCTAGCATGTCAACAAGCCTACCCAATAACTACGGCACCAATCATTAAATTTGGCTTTTCGGGTTCCTGCATACAGCCTCATTTAGGGGGGAGTAGTGTGGGGACACAACTTGGCAAACGATCTGGCAGCACAACTTCGGTGTGGCACTATTCTTCATTCCGTTTCACATTGTCTTTCGTAAAAAAGTCCTAGCCGTTGCAACTCAAAAAAAGGAAATTTTCTTCTCAAGCAAGCGAGCAGAAGGTTCTAGATTCCAACAGCGAAAACCAAAAAGAATCGTTTTAGGCAATTCAATTAGTTCTAATTGTTCCATTCAAGTGTTAAGATTATTAATTAAACAAAGAAATAAATATGTGGTAACCCAGCTAGTCGCTACAAGACCTTGAAATTTTCAAGTGTTTTCATGTGTTTTTTGGATTGATTAGCAATAATCTCAAATAATATTTTTAATTGAAATATTAATTAATACATACATTCATGTGTACCTGTGTTAATGATAAATCATAGCCTGTACGTTACTAATTTGTGTATTTGATTTAGTAAAAGTCGATCGCGAAAAGCAACTTGTAGTTTTAGATGAACTCTTGGAGGACATCTCCGTCGATGAGTTGCAAGAAACACTGCCAGGACATCAGCCTCGATATATCATTTATACATACAAAATGATACATGATGACCAAAGAATTTCATACCCTATGTGTTTCATATTTTACACGCCGCGCGATAGTCAGGTATGGACAGTAAAATTTAATTAAACTAAACAAAATTCACTTATCTACATATATATTTACCCATGTTCTCTTCAACAGATTGAACTACAAATGATGTATGCTTGCACCAAAAGTGCCCTCCAGCGCGAGGTCGATTTGACACGCGTCTACGAAATACGAGAATTAGATGAACTAACCGAGGAGTGGCTCAGGGAAAAACTAAAGTAGAAAATCAAGAGTTTTAACTACAAATATCCAGCTAAGCAATATTGTGTATAAGTTCGTTGGGTACATATGTAGCGTCAATAGAACTAAGGTTTTACCAACGATTTTACACCAAATACATGTGTCTAAAAATATAAATGCAAAATATGCATAAATCAAGTATAAATAATGAATAGCAGGGAAAGTACCCCAAAGTAAAATATTTTATTTTTTTTTATGAAAAGACAAAATCAAAATGGTCAAATATGTATTTAAAATTTCTTCATGACATGAATTACATATACATACATATATTCATTCCCACATTTTAATATTGTAATTAAAGTAGATAATAGCTTGAGTAGCATTTGCGTAGTGTTTGTAGTGTATTACTAATATGTAAAAATGACAGGAGTTTACTTTTAATACAATATGAGAAGCTGTGCTTGCCAAATTTAATTTTATTTATATTGTAATGCTACATTTTTAATTTTTTTCGTTTTTTTTTCTAGTTTATTAGAGTTTACAAGTACAAATATTTTGTGCGTGAATATTTAGAGGATTACCTTCCACTTTTGTATACACTTTTATCAGCATATACGTTAAAATAAATACATATACCGAGAAATAAATTATTACTACAATACAATTGTTAATTAAATTTAAGAATTGTTAATTAAATTTAAGACTGCCTCATATTCCTTCAGAATGGATGCAATCGCTGTGCCGCATGCATCATACTTAATGCCGCACTACTTTGCGCCGATGGCGTGGGCGGTGGTGGCGGCGGTTGCTGTGCGGCTGCTAGCATATGCGCCATCGTCGGATGATGTGCCATATGCGTCGGATGGTTGGCTTGTAGTGGCGCATTCAAGGACAAATGATGCAAGCCATCGTGGGCGAGTGCAGCATGCGTTTGCGGTGGAGGGG